TCCCAGGCTCAGCCAGGTCTTCAAATGCTAATGAAGGCGGTCAGTTGAAACATTCACACCTAGCTCCAGCAGAGAAAAGCTCTTTGCCCCACCCCAGCCATTCCACAGATATACAAACCCAATTTTCCTAGTTTCCAACAGACCTCACTACCTCTGAGGATGCTTGCCATAGATGCAGGCGAAACGTCAGGAGAAATGCCTCTAGAACATGGCTCTATAGCCCGAAAAAACCCACAAGAACTTACTTAGGGATACTTAAAAATAAAAGATTGCAAGAATATTCCTCAAGCTACATTAGTAGGGCATAAACACAACAATAATCCTCACCCATTCAGTATACAAGGCTTGTAGTTGCATCATAGTGTGATTCATCACTCTTGTCTTAATCTCTGTAAATGTGAGGCACGCCTGATTTCTGAGGGATCATGAAATGAGTGATCTATGGTTGGCCAGACTGAAGCCTTCGCCAGCCTGGGTTTTTTTTTTTTTTTTTTGGCAATTGAAATAAGAGATATGAAGTATTAATTTGTGGACAGATTCAGTAGGAGGACTCTGAAACATACGAAAGATCATTGATCAAACCAGATCTAATTGAAATAAGAGATATGAAGTATTAATTTGTGGACAGATTCAGTAGGAGGACTCTGAAACATATGAAAGATCATTGATCAAACCAGATCTAATTGTCTTCCAGCTGTAGCTTTTGCCTATGGTTTATGTGTGTTCAGGGCTGGATATTTCTTTTAATATTTTTTAAAAGTCAGTAGGGAAAGAAAGCACAATCCAGGTAGTTAGCTCAATGCTACTAGGAACCCTTCCTTACAGCCATATAACCTAGAATATCAAGGCAGAAAACCCCACAATATCTGCTTTGAACTGGGTTATCTGAGTCCACACTGCCATATATTCCAGTTCAAAGCAGAAAATGTGGGATTTTCAGCTGTTTGGAAGGGGCCTCAGGGCCCTTCACCCAGCCATATAACCCAGAATATCACTGATTCATAGAATCATAGAACCATAGAGTTGGAAGAGACCTCATGGGCCATCCAGTCCAACCCCCTGCCAAGAAGCAGGAATATTGCATTCAAATCACCCCTGACAGATGGCCATCCAGCCTCTGTTTAAAAGCTTCCAAAGAAGGAGCCTCCACCACACTCTGGGGCAGAGAGTTCCACTGCTGAACGGCTCTCACAGTCAGGAAGTTCTTCCTCATGTTTAGATGGAATCTCCTTTCTTGTAGTTTGAAGCCATTGTTGTCTCCAGGGCAGCAGAAAACAAGCTTGCCCCCTCCTCCCTATGACTTCCTCTCATGTATTTATACATGGCTATCATGTCTCCTCTCAGCCTTCTCTTCTTCAGGCTAAACATGCGGTAATTGTTTGGGTCATCCTTTTTTCCCTTCTTGAAGATTGGGACCACATTGGCCCTCCTCCAATCTGCTGGAACTTCTCCCGTTCTCCAAGAACGCTCAAAGATGATTGCCAATGGTTTCGAGATTACTTACGCAAGTTCCTTCAATACTCTTGGGTGTAGTTGATCTGGCCCCCAGGACTTGAACTCATTTAGAGCAGCCAGGTATTCCTGGATGACTTGTTTCCCAATTTGGGGTTGGATGTCCTCTAATCCAGTGTTTCTCAACCTGGGGGTCGGGAAACGTGAGGGGGTGTCAGAGGGGTCACCAAAGACCATCAGAAAACACAGTATTTTCTCTTGGTCACCGGGATTCTGTGTGGGAACTGGCCCAATTCTACCATTGGTGGGATTCAAGGGGCTCTTTGATCGTAGGTGAACTGTAAATCCCAGCAATGACAACTCCCAAATATAAAGGTCTATTTTCCCCAAACTCCACCAGTGTTCACATTTTGGCATATTGAGTATTCGTGCCAAGTTTGGTCCAGATCCATCATTGTTTGACTCCACAGTGCTTTCTGGGTGCAGGTGAACTACAACTTCCAAACTCAAGGTCAATGCCCACCAAACTCTTCTAGTGTTTTCTGTTGGTCATGGGAGTTCAGTGTGCCAAGGTTGGTTCAATTCCATTGTTGGTGGAGTTCAGAATGCTCTTTGATTGTAGGTGAACAATAAATCCCAGAAACTACAACTCCCAAATGACAAAATCAATCTCTCCTAACACCACCAGTATTCAAATTTGGGCATATTGGGTAATTGTGCCAAATGTGAATGAAAATACATCCAGCATATTAGATATTTACATTGGGAGTCATAACACTAGCAAAATTACAGTTATGATGTAGCAACAAAAATAATTTTATGGTTGAGGGTCACCACGACATGAGGAACTGTATCAAGGGGTCGCAGCATTAGGAAGGTTGAGGAACACTTCTCTAATCCCTCATCCACTCCATCTTGCTGAGGTTGAAGATGACTTTCTTTTTGTGAGAAGACCGAGGCAAAGAAGGCATTAAGTAGTTCTGCCTTTTCCCTATCCCTGATCAGCATTGCCCCATCTTCTCCTCAAAGAGGCCCTATCGCCTCCTTGTTCTTCCTTTTTCTACTGACATTAGAAAAGCCTTTTTTATTGTTTTTAATGTTCCTGGCAATTTTAATGTCAAGGCAAAACAGGCTATAGTTTCCATCCCACAAGTGGGATAAGAAATACCCGTGGCAGCAACCTTGAAGAGAAGGGAAAATATTAGCAGCAGCTTAACCTGCCATGGAGTCTCTGAGTTCCTCTTCGGAAGTGAGAAAGATGGGATATAAATACTTGAAATTAATGCTTGAAATAAAGAGAACAAACCATCAAAATATGCAAAATGGTCTATTTTGAATCTGGGGGATGCTTTTAAATTTCTTTGATTAAATTCCGATGTGCAGAGAACTGTATGTATGGTTACTCATTAGTAACTCCCACTGTGTCCAGTATAGATTGCTTTAACCTTGACCATGCCATGGTTCAATGCTATGGAATCATGGGACATGTAGTTTGCTGAGGCGCCAGCCCTCTTTGGCAGAAAAGGCTGCAGACCTTATAAAACCACAATTCCCAGTAGTCCATAGCACTCAGCCATGGCAATATTACAATAATGTAAAAATAATGCATTAACTCTGCAGTATAGATGAACCCACCCTATGCGGAGTTTCAAGTAAATGAATGGTGTCCTAAGTATTGTCGAAGGCTTTCTGGGCCAGAATCACTGGATTGTTGTGAGTTTTCCGGGCTGTATGGCCATGTTCCAAAAGCATTCTCTCCTGACGTGTCGCCTGCATCTATGGCAGGCATCCTCAGAGGTTGCAAGGTCTGTTGGAAACTAGGAAAATGAGGTTTATATTTGTGAAATGTTGGCAAAAGCTTGGAAACTGGACATTATATCAGCTAAGGAACTTTGGATAGACAAGGTATTAGAAATAAAGGATATGGGTAGACTTACATTTTTGTTCAAGAAAAATGCTGGCAAAAGCATGAAAATGATGGATTGGTCAAATTTTGAAGAATATTAAAATATTAAGCCTTTAAAGCCCTAAACGGTTCTGGCCCGACCTATCTGTCCGAATGCATCTCCTCCTATGAACCAGTTAAGACGTTAAGATCGTCTGCTCTCGGTCCCGCCGGCCTCACAAGCACGTCTGGCGGGGACGAGAGACAGGGCCTTCTCAGTAGTGGCCCCCCGGCTGTGGAACACCCTTCCTACAGACATTAGATCAGCCCCCTCCTTATTGACATTCCGGAAGAGTGTGAAGACACGGCTCTTCGAACAGGCTTTTAACTAAACAGTGCAATTGATTGTTTACTGGAATATGGATTAATGGACAACGAGATCGGATGCTGATTCTATTGATGAGACGTGATGCATTGATGTTTTTGATGTTAATTAATTGATACTACTGTTTTAAATGAGTAATGATTTTGTACTGTGTTGCTGATACTGGTTGTTAACCGCTCTGAGTCGCCTGATGGCTGAGAAGAGCAGTATACAAGTAAAGCAAATAAATAAATAATAAATAATATATGAGGATACAACACTAACTATAGGATAAGAAGGGAAAGAAATTGGCATACTAAAAATAGATTATTATTGGGAAAGGAAAACTTGATAGAATGAGAAAAGTGACAGACTTGAACGTAAGGAGAAAAGGAAGCCATTCAAAAACTTTTTTCTATTTTTTTCACTCTCCTTTCCCCTTTATTTTCTTTTTTGCAATTTCCTACTTTTCTTCAATTATAATGTTCCCCCACTTTAAATGTTCTTTCTCCTATACTTTATTTTTATCGTTTTAAAAACTTTTTATACTTTGTTCATAGTAATAAAAATTATTTTACAAAAAAAAATAAATCTGTGGAATGTCCAAGGTGAGAGAAATAACTCTTGTCTGTTTGAGGTAGGAGTGAATGTTTCAATTGGCCATTTTGATTAGCATTTAATGGCTTGGCAGTTTCAAGGTCTGGCTTCTTACTGCCCAGGGGGGAGAATCCTTTGTTGGGAGGTGATTAACTGGCCCAGATTGTTTCTTGTCTGAAATTCCACTGTTTTTGAGTATTGTTCTTTATTTACAGTTATAATTTTAGAGTTTTACACCTACCTCAATCAGACAAGAATTATTTCTCCCACCTTGGACTTTCCATAGATATATAAAACCCCATTTTCCTAGTTTCCAACCTCAGAGGATGCCTGCCATAGATGCAGGCGAAACGTCAGGAGAGAATATTTCTGGAACATGGCCTGGAAAAACTCACAACAACCCGAACGGTGTATTGTTTATAAAACCAAGAGCCTCCCTTCTCTACGCATGCGCACCAAATGGGCAGCGCCGGGGATTGGAAGGCGGGCTTTTGGCGCACGCGGGCCCCCTAGTGGCCGCAGCGAGGAGGCGCAAGCAGAGGTGCTTCCAATTCACTCCTTCCGCCGGGAACAACTTTTCCTCGGCCAATCAGGGGCTCCGCTGACGAAACGGCGCCAAGCTGGAAGGCATGGGGGCGTGGCTTCAGGCCTGTTGTAAAAAAGAAGGCGTTCCTCGCCATCTGATTGGTGGAGCCGAGGGTTCTGTTTTCCCCCCTCCCTGCGCGTCCCAAGTCACGTGATCCCTGGAAAGTTTTCATATGAGAAGGGAAGATGCTCCCCAAGAAGGTAATTGGGAAAGTGGGGAGCATGCGAGGAAGAGGGGGTGCTGTTAGCATTATAATAGCATTTCTTGGGTTTTATTCTCTCTCTCTCTCTCTTTGTCCAGAAATTGGCCTTTTGGTGGGCTGTGCAGACTGAAAGAAAAGCACTCTGTACATGCCCAGAGGCGCCCAGTCTTCCAGTCATGAACAGTGTGTCCACATTGTCAAATTAATACAGCTTAACACCATTTTAATTGGCCTGCCTCAGTGCTATGGAATTCTGGGATGTGTGGTTTGGTGAGGGCAGCGGCACTCTCTGGCAGTCCTTGTAAAACTGCAAAGATTCCATAGCATTGAACCTTGGCAGCCAAAGTAGTGTAAAACTGCATTAATTTAAAAATGTAGATGCAGACTTACAACTCTATAGGATTCCATAGCATTGAGCCTTGGCAGTCAAAGTGGTGTCACTCTGCATTAATTTAACAATGAAGATGCACACTTAGTTGCTGAGATTAGGGTAGATTGGGATGGACTGAGTGTGAAAGAAAAGCACTCTGTACATGCCCAGAGACACCTGCCATCCACTCTTTGTTGGTGTGCTGCAATAGACTAATCCATTCTTCAGATGTTCCCCTTGGAGACAAAAGGGCCCGTCCACACTGGAGAATGGATCTAGTTATTCATCACATAACAATTATATTCCTCTCAGTTCATAACAGTGTGTTAATACTGAATTTATTTTATGAACGATAGTCATGATGTGAAGAAAACACCCACAAACAGGAAGAAAATATTGGTATAGTTGGTTGGGGAACAGCGTCAGAATATACCCAAAAAAGTACAAATACTCCCACTTCAATATTTTGATGCCGTTGTGTAACTACTAAAGGCTGATTAGGTATCTACTGTACCTTTTATTGCCACATTCTGTGTTTTCATTGTAAACGGCTTTAAACGTGGTTTTGTGGGGAATTCATTTCTCATTTTTTATGAATAAATAAAACTGGTGGGTGACAGTTATTTGAATTGCTACAGGGATAATTTATGAAGCTTTAGTCTGCATTGCCATAAAAAGGGTCTTCACACGCAGGAAACTATATAGTATCTCTGGACCATTTATTCTAACTCTTTTGTCAACAGTTTAGTTTGGTGTTTTCCAAATTATTGCTTTAATTGGTTCATAAGGTAACTGGGAGGGAAAACATAGGGTGCATACACACTGTAGAATTTAATGCAGTTTGACACCACTTTTGACAATGACTACTCTGTCCTATTGAAGAGCTATATTTCTATATTTTAATACTCACAAATTTTATATTGTTATGCATACTTCAACCATTAATGTGTTATTTATTAAGCCGATTCATTTATTTGTTTTAGTTAGTGGTGTTTGATTTATTTTTAATTGTTTGCTTTAAAGTATTATGTGTTATTGTACACAGCACTGAATGTTTGCCATTTTTTGCCTTTGGAAGCCACCCTGAGTTCCTCTGGGGCGGGTCAATATCATCATCATCATCATCATCATCATCATTATTAATATACACTACAGAATTAATGCAGTTTGATATCACTTTTAACCTCCGTGGCTCAATTTTATGGAATTCTGGGAGTTGTAGTTTTAAAAAGTCATTTGCCTTTTCTGCTAAAGAGTGCTACAACTCTCAGGACTCCATAGCATTGGAGGTTAAAAGTGGTATCAAATTGCATTAATTCTGTAGTGTAGGTGCACCTATGGAAGCCACAAACATATCAGCTCTTATTTGGGTTTTGCTTTAATTATGATTAGTTTAGAAACAAATATAAAATTAGGAATTGCTATTAATCATCTTGTCTCTTCGGATATCTAGGACAAGTAGATCGTATCTCAGCATCTACTGGTAGATCTCTGGACCATTAATGATAATTCACTTAAATGACTCCTTGTTGTTTTTATTACTGGTGACAGCTGTACTACTGGTGACAGATTGTGTTCAGATGAAGAAAATTGGGAATTGATTGTTGTATGTTTACATTCCTTGCATTGCCAAATTATTAAAATTAGCACAGATGAAGGAAATAAATCAGGAATTTTTATTTATAGAGAAAACGAAGGCGTTGCACAGAATTTGCCTCTTTCCCGGATGAGGGGTCTGCAGAGGAAAGGAAGAGAAATACCGGGGCACCGGCAGCTGCCACTTCCATTTCAGGCGCCTGGCTTCGTTGTGGTGATGGGTTTCAGGCAGCTTCTTCACTGGAGGTAAACTGCATCCATTCGTTTTCTTCACTTGTATACAATGAGTCCTCCATATATAGAGATTGGTCCTGGGACCAAACCAAGCAGATACAAAGGGCCGTCTATACTGTCTTTCCCTCTATAACTGAGAATCAAGGTGGCTGTACTTTTGTATGTGTGGATTTGCTATACCAGTTATGGATTTTCTCTATTTCTGAATAGATCAACCTTACCAGTTAAAGTTTGTAATGTATAAATATGGTAATAATATTTCACACTGATTCAGAGCCATGGCTACACTTCGGTCAAGCCAGTGTTTTGCAACCCCAGCAACCCCTTTATTTTTCCATTTCCAACAGAGCAACATAGGTTTTTTAGCTTTGAATTTTGGCCAGATACAATCAAGTATTTGAAATTTTGCTTGTATTTATTATTCTCAGTATTTCCAGTCTGTTGGTATACAGGACAAAGCATAGCACTTATATGCAGGTTGAACATCCCTTATCCAAATTGTTTCGGACCAGAAGTGTTTTGGATTTCAGATTTTTAATTTTTGTTTTTTGGATTGTGGGATATTTTTACTTGCATATATGCATCTAGTCAGATATTTTTTGTGATGGGACCCAATCTTAAAAATAAATGTTTATTTATATTTTATATGTACCTTATATTCATAGTCTGTAATTTTGTACAATGTTTTAAATTTGTTTTTGCAACAAAAAAGTTGCTTACATTGAACCATAAGAAAGCAAAGGTGTCACCGGTGTGGACACTTTTAAATTTTGGGGTATTTTTGATTTTGAAATCCTGAATAAAGGATGCTCAACCTATACTTTGTCTCCATGTTTATATCTTCAAGCCCCTCTTGGGATTATACGGTATAAATTATAGTTTCGGGTCCAGTTCTATATGATTCTGTTCAGATCTAATTCCCATTGATGAAGCTTACTCCCAAGTAAGTGTGTAAATTAGTAGCCTTAACAAGGCAAACAAATATAATATATGGAGCTACCAAAGAATAGTTTTTGTTGTGAGCCACCCCGAGTATGTTGTAAACTGCTGCGAGTCCCATGGGGAGACAAATAAAGATTATTATTAAATGTTTTGGTTAATAATTATTCATTTTCTGTTCATAATTTGTTTCTCTTAAAACAGACTAAAGAATCTTCTGAGAAAGCATCGAGAGCGAAAAAGTGCTTTGCCTCATTGCTCAGCTTGGTTGAAGGTATAACAGATATTGTAACATTTTACTTCAGTATTATTGTTATCATTTATTTACATAGTGAGCATTTGTTTCTTTTTGTTCATAAAACATTTTAGCAAATTGCAACTATATTATTTTACAGTATACAGTAGTTTCATAATTCAAGATACAAATGATCTTGAATTCTGCAGAGCGACTTTAGTATTTCCATATCCTGGCAAAAATAGAACTTTCTGGGCATGAGGTGGGGAAAGTTCTGTAGTACCAGTTAAAGGATTGAATTTAGATAAAGAAGTACACTAACAGCCTAAGTGAATGTTTTCCGATGGAGTCGCCTGTGTTTAAATATGAAAACTGTGCAAGGTTGTTCAGAATATCATAACATGCATGAGCAAGTATGAATAAGCAAACTATCATGTTAATGTTAGATATATCCATTATATCGCACAATACACAGCCTGTTGTAAACTTTAAGATCTCACTTTTGAGTCTTAATTTTTGGGAAAAAATGAGCCCAGCAGTTCTGTTTGGATGCCATGTGAATCTATAAGGTTGTGAGATATAATTTGGAGGTGCTGGCTTCCATTTTTTTGTCAGCTGTGGCTTGTGATGTTTTGATCCTTATCAGCTGTGGTAAATCTGAATTGTGGCTTGCTTAAAACAATGAAGCTGTTTGTTTCTGCAAACAATGATTAGGACTAATTGTAGTTTACAATGTAGATCCACACTACACATAATTGTGGTTAATGAAATGGAAGCAAAATATTGTGTCCTCTTTGAATGGAGGAGAGAAGACATGCCGAAAGCCAAAGGTGCCTGTGTTACTTTGTGGCAGGTTTTCTCTGGCTCTTGGGAGTAGATTTATTTAGCTGCAGCATTGCTCATTATAAGGCAACTAGGAGCTATTAAAGATTATAGGTAGGTAAAGGTTTCCACCTGACATTAAGCCCAGTTGTGTCCGACTCTGAGGGTTGGTATTCATCTCCATTTCTAAGCCAAAGAGCCGGCGTTGTCCGTAGGCACCTCCAAGGTCATGTTGCCAGAATAACTGCATGGAGCCCGTTACCTTCCTGCCAAAGCGGAACCTATTGATCTACTCACATTTGCATGTTTTCAAACTGCTAGGTTGGCAGAAGCTGGGGCTAACAACGGGAACTCATGCCGCTCCCTGGATTAGAACAGGCGACCTTTCGGTCAACAAGTTCAGCAGCTTAGCGCTTTAACCCACTGCGCCAGATTATAGAAAAGACCAAAATCCATGCTCCAAAAATATCGCCCCAACCCCCTCCGGAAAGTATTTATAGGTCTCTCAACATCCTCCAGCACTTTTCATGGTGTGCTTCCGGCTCAGATGTAGTAAAAATACAAGGGCTGTTGTTATCCATGATTGCATGGAGCCCCTGTTGGCACATTGGGTTAAACCCTTGTGCCGGCAGAACTGCTGACTGAAAGGTTGGCAGTTCGAATCCAGGGAGCGGGGTTAGCTCCTGTTCGTCAGCTCCAGCTTCTCATGCAGGGACATGAGGGAAGCCTCCCACAGGATGGTAAAACATCCAGGCACCCCCTGGGCAATGTCCTTGCAGACAGCCAAGTCCTTCACACCAGAAGTGACTTGCAGTTTCTCAAGTCACTCCTGACACACACAAACAAAACCATAATTTCAGATATCCACAGAAGGTCCTGAAAGGTATCCCCTGTGGATACAGGGGTCGTAGTGTACATAACACCAAATAGTCTGTAAACTCTGATAAATGAAATGGTGGAAACTGTGGGTATTGAATCCATGGATAAGTGGTCATTCAAAAATAAATACTGAAAATTCACCACCATGTGGTGGTGATACTTCTTGATCTTTCAGTGCTCCCTAAATAGACTACAGGCAATCCCTGAGTTACAAACATACAACTTACAAATGGCTCACAATTTTTTTAAAAAATAAAAAGGTTAACTATTATATAGACATATATGAAACATAAACAAGGGGGGTGTATAGTCATAAGAATGATGACTCATAGTTAAGAATGGGGGTGAGACAACAGGAAGTGAGAGAAATTTACTCCTAGGAAGGGGAATTCACTCCTGAAAGAGTTACTATGCGGAAAAGGCATCTCCACTGAACCAATCCTTGTTTCCACAACAAGCCAAATGTTTCAAAATCCAATTCTCACAGGGACAGAAAGTGAGGTGAAATCTTCTGAACAGAAGTAGAGACAGCAAAACAACCACTTCAGGGGTGTTAAACGTTCTCTATGCTATCCAAAGCACTCACTCTCTCTCTCTCTCTCTCTCTCTCTCTCTCTCTCTCTATATATATATATATATATATATATATGGATGGCTGGAGTTACACTTAAAAATGTCATCTTAAGAACAAACCTACAGAACCTCTCTTGTTCACAACTTGGGGACTGCCTGTATAATTTTTTCCTTTCAGAAGTACAGTGTGTAAGTAGGTCTAGTCCTAGTTACTTCATTTCAAATGAAATTGGAGATATCTTTTGTAGAGGTTAACTTTGAGTCATGAAAATTCATGACTCAAAGTTGAAGATGTGACGTTAAAATTTAGATTTCTGCTAAATTTCAGTGCTCATGTGTAACAATCTCGAGTGCTCTGATATAGTAATCTGGAAAGTATTTGCATTCTCTCTTCCACAGGAATTTCTAAAAGTGAGAGATCAAGTGAATGCACTGACATTGTATGGAGTTCCAGTGGTAGTGACGTCTCTGATGATGAAAACAGGGCAGTGACTTCAAGGTTCCCATGTCTTCAGGCAGAAAAATATAGAAAATATGATTTAATCTTCAAGGATGAATGTAGTGAAGGTGAGTAGGCTTGTGAAATAAAATGTGAAAGAGATGGTTGTTTAAGTTGATGTTCTCTAGTAACTTTTTTCCACTTGTTTTTTTGTAATGAGCAGTAGTTTTTGTTTACCGTCTCCAATGCTGAGATATACTAAAATATATAATAAAAATATATATTAAAAATATGAAAATGACACCGTTTTTGAGTTTGTGTAACAGGGCTACTCTTCTTATAATTTGTGTAAAAAAATTAGTAAAAAATTGCACAGTTAGGGACTGGAATTATTTTTAAAAAGAGAGAGGCTAACTTTATTGAAGGCAAATAAGTTCTGATTGGACAAAGTACAAATACAGTGAAATAATGAAAGTAGTGAAAATAATAGAAATGAAATAAAAATAACTGTATCTAAGTCCATATCTCTTTCTTTATTGGATTAGTTTGCTGACTTTCTCCCCAAAAGTGGGACATGACTTTGACCAGGATTGTACAAAAATAAAGCTAGAACCCAACAAAAGCAAACATTAAAACATGGTTTAATTAAAAACCGGGTTTAAATCAGGGGTCCTCAAAATAAGGCCCAAGGGCCGGATACGGCCCTCCAAGGTCATTTACCCGGCCCTCACTCAGGGTCAACCTAAGTCTGAAACGATTTGAAAACACAACAACAACAACGATCCTATCGCATCAGCCAAAAGCAGGCCAACACTTCCCATTAAAATACTAATAAGTTTATATTTGTTAAAATTGTTCTTCATTTTAATAATTGTATTGTTTTAAAGTGTTTTTTGCACTACAAATAAGGTATGTGCAATGTGCATAGGAATTAATTCATTTTTTCTTTCAAATTATAATCCGGCCCTCCAACAGTTTGAGGGACTGGGACCTGGCCCTCTGTTTAAAAAGTTTGAGTACCCGGGTCTAAATCAACCAAAATCACAATTTGAAACACATTGTTAGCAAGAAATGTAAATTGGAAAGTCTAGACTAGGACTTCTTAAATGTTTTCCACCACTTTTTGTCCAATGAATGTATACCCGACTCCAGATATATAGGTATATAAAATAACTGACACTATTCTGTTTATAGAGGAAGTGAAATAATTTAAATGTATATACTGTATATACTCAAGTATAAGCCGACCCAAATATAAGCCGAGGCACCTAATTTTACCACAAAAAACGGGAAAACTTATTGACTCGAGTATAAGCCGAGGGTGGGAAATGCAGCAGCTACTGGTAAATTTCAAAGCAAAAATAGATACCAATAAAATTACATTAATTCAGGCACAGTAGGTTAAATTTTTTTGAATATTTACCTTAAACAGTAATTTAAGAGAAGACTGTCCAACTCCAATTAAACCATTATTCTAACCTTCAATGAAAATGTGCTTACATATCCTTCCAATAATCACCATAGTTTATTTTAACTATACATTTTGGGGGAAATGCTGTATGTATATGAATAAGGAAAAGTGGGAGAGACTGGTGCCAAGAGAGGAGGAGAGGAAGATGCATGTTGCGCGAGAGAGGAGGAGAGGTAGCTGTGCCCTTCTTTCAGTCCCATGCCTTCCTGCCAGGACCCTCACCCGAGGCTTTTTCAGCTTTCAAAAAAGGACTGAAAACTAGGTTTATACTCGAGTATATACAGTATATATTTTATGTATGGCCATTTCGATAAAGATTGTTGAAAACAATTGAAAAGCAGGATAGCAAATAAAGAACAACACAGAGAAAACAGGGGAATACCAGACAAGAAACGATCAGGGCCAGCTAATACTTTCCAACAAAGGATTCCCCAAGGCAGGAAGCAGCCAGGCTTTGAAGCTGCAAGGTTATTGAATGCAAATCAAGGACGTCAATGGCAACATTCACACTTGCCTCAAACAGACAAGAGTTATTTTTCCCATCCTGGACATTCTACAGATATATAAACCCCCACTTGCCTAGTTTCCAACAGACCTGCCTGCCATAGATGTGGGCGAAATGCCAGGAGAGAATGCTTCTAGAATGTGGCCATACAGCCCAGAAAACTCACAACAACCCATTGCTGAAAACATTTAATACGTAGTTATCTCAGTATCTCAGTGCATGTAACTGTTTTCGTTCATGAGCAGCAATTAAAGATATGTATTGCATGCATGCAAGTTTAATGTATGCAATGCTAATTCTTGGCTTAGTGTTGTGAGAGTCCCGATCCAATATGTGAAGATGCTCCTATTTCCTGTATGGTAATTTTTCAAGCTCTTTTGCTGTTTCTATCATAAGCTCTAGATGGCGATCTTTCCCCAGCAGAGAATCCCAACATTTGTTTATTTGGTAAATGTTAGAATAGATGAACTGGGTCAGACTGAACTTTCGGTAATTTCCTGCTGTTCTTAATCAGATGGAAATTATACTCATTTTTCAGATAATTGGCTATTGTTTGTTTGAGGAAAAATGTATAAACATGTCGACAACCACTTCCGTAAATATCTACAAACCTCAAGCAATTGGATTGTATCACCTTATTACTTAAATAGGATTTTTTTAAAAAATTCTGTTTTTTGTAATAGGGTTGTTATTGTCCAACTTAATTTGAAATCTCCGAAGACTTCTCTTTGTTTTTATGTAGATGTTTATGTCATTGAACTGAAGTTGTTGCTGATGTTTCATAGCTGGGGGTTTCTTTGAAAAAGGCCATTTTAAGTAACTGTTTGAGTGGATACATATTCTAAAGGTATTAAAAAGCCTTTAATATCAGCGAATCCTTTTTTCCACAGAAAACCAAATTTTCCAAACTCAAGTTCTCACAGGGATAGAAAGTGAGGTGAAATCTTCTGAATAGGGGCAGGGGCGACAAAAAATGCTACAAAGATGTTATCCCTTCCCTATGCTAGCCAAAGCTTATATATGATATGATATGATATGATATGTATGGCTGGAGTTGCACTTGAAATGTACCTTTTTTGACTTACATACAAAGTCAGCTTAACAAAAAACCCTAACTATATTGTCTGTAACTTGGGGACTGCCTTTATATCTATTCAGTTCTGAGGTCTACTCTTAGCTAGCACTAGTGCTCAATAGGTACAGTGAATGTATAAGCCTAGATATTATTATTACTATTACTATTATTTGATACACAACAAGATTAGAACACAGCAAACAAGATCACTGTGCTGGCTTTTGGGGGACTCAAGGCCGACCTGAGTCCCCTTTGGGGTGAAAAGGGCGGGGTACAAATAATGGGAAATAAATGAATTTGCATTCAATCACACGTTGGACACTTCCCAAGTGTCTAGGACTGTGTGATGTATCAGTGAATAATGCATATAGATTCAAGTAGGGTGGCCTTTTGCAGCTGACAGATGGTAATTTTGTCAGTGCCAATTGTTTTTCAGTGCAGGCCATGGTCTTTAGGCACTGCACCAAGTATGCTGATTACCACTGGGACCACCTTCACTCGCTTGTGCCAGAGTCTTTACAGTTCAATCTTTAAATCCTCGTATAGTGAACTATAAGCTTTTCCAGTTGCTTCTTGTCAATTCTGCTGTCACCTGGGATTGCAACATTGTCACCTGGGATTGCAACGATCCATACTTTGTTTTTTTCCACAATCGTGAGGTCAGGGATATTATTATTATTATTATTATTATTATCATCATCATCATCATCATCATTATTATTATTATGTGTTTTACAGTATAACTGAAATCATGGAGCAGTATTTCGGTGAAGTACCAGCATTACAAAAGAGTGACCTAATATTTCTTTCCCTTTCAGACGAACCACAAGTAATTGACTGGGAAAATGATAGTGATTATGAGGAACATGATAAACAGCACAGTGGTTCAAAAATGGATGATGTTTCTTTGGACATATCAGACTCTGATTCCTCTATGAGCAGTAATTTTTTCCTGGATGTAAAGAAGGAAGATGAACCTAAAATGGTAAGAAATTGTTCTTGATGGGAAATCATTTCAGCATTATAACATGCCCAACTTTTCTGATTATTGCTGGAGAAATTGGGATTATCAGTGTTTTGGGTAAATAAGAATAAAGTTTATTTAAATATTTCTTATTCTGGGATTATTTCAGAAACTCATTGCTTTCTGGTTACAAGAGTTTTTGTTCCTTAAAATAATGGTAAGTCACCTTTTAAAGTGAAATCTTCCAAAGGTAATGAATAATGGTGTGAAGAACAATATCAATCTAAGGAAAAGTAGCAAAGACAATGATAAAATCAAAATTTCCAGATAAAATCAGATAGGGCTGTATATATACCATGGCTTTGAATGAAGCCTTTAACTTAATTCTAGACTCAAGTAAGGAGGTAAATTTTAAGGTCGTCAAGAAAGCTTGTGAAGTTTCATACAAAAAAGGATTATTCTTGACAGTAAGAGTAGTTTGACAATGGAACTAGTTGGTGGAGTCTCCTTCTTTGGATGTCTCCCTCCAGATATCTTCTGAGAATGCTTTAGTTGGAGATCGTGCATTGAATAGAGTTTGGGACTTGATGACCCATAAGCCCTATAGTTCTCTGATTCTTTAACCATCTTTTGTTGAGCTGAAGCTTTTTGGTATCTAAATGTGAGACCATCAAGAAACATTATTTTGTTTCTGCACATTTTCTATTTTTATTTGGGGGGTTTTCTGCAATCCATTCCTAATTTTCTTCATTTGAACAGAACCTTATAGTTTTCACCAGTATTAAACAACAGGGAGTTGTTTTAGTGAATTACAACTAACCACGTAATTCAGTAAATTACTAACTTACCCCTGCCCCCACTGATGGTACAGTGGGTTAAACCGCTGAGCTGCTGAGATTGCTGACCGAAAGGTTGGCAGTTCGCATCAGGAGAGCAGGGTGAGCTCCCGCTATTAGCCCAGCTTCTGCCAACCTAGCAGTTTGAAAACATGCAAATGTGAGTAGATCAATCAGTACCACTTCTGTGGGAAGGTAGCCGCACTCCATGCAGTCTTTCTGGCCACATGACCTTGGAGGTGTCTATGGACAATGCTGGCTCTTTGGCTTCGAAATGGAGATAAGCACCACCCCCAGAGTCGGACATGACTAGACTTAATGTTAGGGGAAACCTTTACCTTACTATAGTGAAAAGATTGGTAGAATTTTAGTAGTTGCATTTTCAAATGTGCAGTATGGATGCCTTGAGTCTTTCATAAGCATCAGATTCAATGTCTATATGTACTGGTTTTAGAGAAAGAGAGAGAGAGGGGCTAGCTTTTCGTTTGTTTCCATGGTTTTTGTAGAGCTTCCAGTAGAGGGAGGTAAAATCCAACTTTTAGGAACAGGACTTTGAGTTGGAAACTACAGTGAAAGCTGGGTGTTGAAGTGGATATTGTCACGTTATTTGGTGTTCTGCTCTGTTATGACATTTTGGTAATATAAATGGATTAAGCTGACAAAAGAATCTCTGAACATTTCATAATATTTGCTTCATGAACCAGGGAGATATCATACGTAGGGGGTGCGTAATACATGTGTGCAGATGCTTTGGCAATTTCCTTAAAGAGTTCATGTTATAAGTTAAACCCTATGTCAAGATCTATAAATGTACCTGAAATTATTTTTTAAAAACTGTAAGCTAATATTACATACATTAACTTACAGTTTTAACGTCTCTGACAATGTTGCTTGTTTTTACAAATATTTTCATGGTTCCCCAGTCCTCCTTTTCCTCTACTTGACTGGAAACTTTTTAGCAGCATCAGTATTGGGTAATGGTGGAAGGCAGCTGCAGAAACACTATGTTGGCTTGCAGTACATAATTTAGTAGAGCTCGGAAAACTGGGAAATAATGCATTTATCCTCCAGCTAACTCAAGTGGTGTGTGGCAGCTTACATAGGTAAAATATCTTACCAAATGTGAGTGAATAGCAAAACAGAGAGAAAAGAGGGGAGAAGAAAAACTTGCTTCAACAGCAGATCTTATGAAATGTTATGAAATGTTCAGAGTGTGTTAAAAGAAGAAGCCTAGCTCTATAAATCTGGCCACAAAAATGAAAATCATAAAAAACTGGAGGCTAGTGAAACACAAAGGCAGTCTTCGATGTGTTTTGTAAAAGCCTTTAACTGATCACGACAAGTTTCAAAACATTTTAATATGTTGTTAATTTTGAGCAAACATTTGCTGAGGCACGTCAAAATGCTTTTTCTTTTTTGGTGATATAGGAGCCTGTGCCTATTCTGTAATAGCTACCCGTAGTTTAGTACTGTTATAGGTGTATCTTCTTTCTCTCTGATCAGCTTCTGCTGAATAAATTACCTTCTCATTTTTGGCAAGACATGAGTCTTGTTTGTGTGCTCACTTTTGACTCTGCAGATGCCAAATTGATGCATGGCTAGTCTGAAAGGGGAGGGTCATCAATCATATTGAGGGTAGTAAACATGGCCATGGAGGCCAGTGAATACTAGGAGCTGTATGTTCTATTTCAGAAGGAAATGCAAAACCATCTCTTGAGTATTCCATGCCTAAGAAAACCCTAGGAAATTCTTGGGATCACCATACATTAACAACTTGCTTGAAAGCACTTGAACACACAAACACACAAGGGATGCTAGCTAGAGCCACAAAAGAAGGTGAAACTAGTGTCCTGTTTACAACATAGACTCCTTTACAAGTTCAGAAGTTAGTGCCTTAATAATGTTGTTGCATTTGAACTAATGAGCCATGGGTTGTGTTTACCTTCTGAATCTGTATTACTAACTGTATTTCGAAGGGAATTTATAGTCTTTTTTTGGAGCACGAGTTTAAGCCATGGCTTCCTTCACACAATAAAGGAACTAAATACAATTCAGGAGAGGGAGGAGATAGTGTGTGAACTTGAAGCTTGATTATGCAGTGTTTGAACCACTAGTCCAGAGCTTTCCAAACTTTGTCGCAATGCATTAGTGTGCGGTCTGGAGTGTGTAGCCATATCATACAAATGTAACTACTGCATCTATGTAAAATCATATATTTTTAAAGGTTTCATGAGCTATATTGTGTACCCATACATTTCGTTTTTACAGTTTATGCATGTGTCCGTATCTCTTATAAGGGGTTGATGTAGCATTGTGTTTACTTATGAAACGGTATTTCTGTGTTGCAAAATGATGCATGTCCAAAACATGTGTCGCCAACAGGAAATTTTTGGAAGTCTCTGCACTGAACTGTCAACTTTGCAGAATATATGAATATAGTTATACAGTTAGCTCTCCATATTTTCTGGGGTTAGAGGCACAGGACCGCTGCAAAAGCGAAAAACCACAAATTATAAAAATGCTGGGTTTTTTAACCTGAGAGAACTCCTCTCTAGAAATATTCACTTTCTCTAGCATGACTTTATGTCAACATCAGAGGGATTATACTGGAGGACCCACAGATTCCCAGACAGGTATTTTGTCTAAGAAGCTCTAAGCTCTCCAGCAAGACTCTGTGATCAGCTTTCAGCAGAAGTTGACCATGGAGTCGCACTAAAGAATCCAGAGAATATTTTAGTCAAACCCGTGAATAATCAAATTTCAAAAAGTCAAATCAACAAATGTGGAGGGCCTACTATAGTTTTAATTTTATTCTGGAAATATGAATATCCGCATGACTGTTATATGTTTATACATATCTAGAATTTCTGGAGAGAGAAAAAAACGATAAGTGGGAATTGTGATTTGCAGTCTGCTATAAATTCTTCTTTGTATGCACCTGATTCTTCATCCTGAACCCAAATCGTAGCAACACAATCCAAAACAAAATCTCTTTGCAGATATCATCTAAATGATGTGTCCTGTTATGGGAATTTCCAAATAAGAGGCTTGTCTAAGTCATTAAACTTTATGTTGAGTGGTGACTCATGTGGCATGGAAGATTACTGCCATAATAATTATCAATTGTTACATATTGTATATACTTTATTTCAATGCCAAAAGCATGAGGCATGGCACAGTGTTAAGAATGTACTCACTTTATGTATACAAACTGACACATAGTCACCTGCTGGATGGAAGTCTTTTGACATGTGTGGAAAAATACTTAGTTTAAAATAGTATTTAAATAGTTAAAACCAAAAGCAATTACCTTGTTTCACTCGTAAATATAAAATCATGTCAGAGAACAATGTAACATTTTGGTAGACGCTGTCTTAAATCTACAAACCATGCATATATTTAGAAATGAAACTCTTGATATTGGCACATATCTAAGAAACTTGCATTGAGAAAATTAGTTCTTCATGAAATCCATTTTTGATCAAGAAGCAAGTGTGCAGAATTAGGTTGTTTTCTGTCTCCCAAATGAGTTCAGTTTGGGAAATGAATGATGAATACGAGAAAATGAAAAACAAACATCTTGCTTTATTTTCTAAAAGGTAATAAATAATCTTGACAGGCTAATCCAGTAACAAATACTTTTATTTGTACTCCAGTTTATTAGCTTGGAAATACGATGTATCCTTTGAGCAAAATAAAGGACCCCGAAACTATTTCCCTTATTGATTCATGTAGTTGTGATGTTAGCCATTATAGTGCACATATTCAGATTTTTAAAGCTTTCTCTTTTATAAAAAGTTCCATATCCAGGCTTGTTAAGAAAGTGTTATTCATTGTTTGAATTGTAACAAGAAAACATAGCTAACTTTCTGGTCTGTGTGGATAAGGAGCAATATGAATACGTGCAAGTCCTGGAAACTCATTCATATTATTCAACAAAGATATGAGTACTCTCATGTGACTGCTTCCTTTCATAGGGTGATGCTGGAAGTGGAAGAAAATGGGAGATGTATAAAATCTTGCAAGTAATGGGATATAGTGGTTTGAATTCTGGACTATATGCCAAATTAATTACACAAAAAGCAAATATCATGTCATTCCTACTTCAAATATCATGTCATTCCTATGTCTGTGGATGTTTCTGCTTGATTTACTTCGCTTACTTTTTAATGAAGAAGAAAGATA